TGGAAAGACTAGGCAGCTGAGATCAGAAAAGCTTCATCTGGAACAGATTTTTTTTCTCTTTAAACTAAATAATAAATAAATACATTTATTTTTGTGAAGCTTTTTGTAACTTTGTTAAGAAAAGTGTTATACAAATAAAGGTTATTACTTATTACGTTCAATACTCACCAAAGTGAAGGCTATGGCTCCCAAAGCTGCATAAAGCATGTGAAGCCACGGAATCTGCAACAACAAACAGTTATTCCAATGAGGACATCTTGAAGATGTGTCGTAAAAAAACAGTGTTGTGTTGTACACATTAGCTTTATCTTACATATTTGAAGGACAGCACAATGGTTGTAATGATGCCGGTGACAAATACTACGATCCCCAGGACACAAAAGAGACCCTGACACTTGGTGAAGTCGACCTGTGAGAAAGAGAAACAACCAACAGCCATGTTGATTACTTACAAAAGACTGCTGGCATTTAAACAAGAAAAGGGCTCTCTCTTTCACACACACTCACAAACTCTCTCTTACACTGTCACAAACATCCTCACACACACTCACTCACACCCTACCTTTGTTTGGAAGCAGAATACGGTCACAGCGATGCAGACAACAGCGGTGATCCCCAGTGCGAGAAACACTGCTTTTGTGTCATAGGAACTAAAACAGCACCATGCAGTTAATACAGAAGGAAAGTGCCTGGAAGTTTTCATACTATCTGAACTGTAAAAGTTAATAAGTACCTGGATATTGTTCCAGTCAAGTAGGACAAAGCCAGCGTCTGATAAAAAATAAGCATAAGTGAAGGTTTAATAGCAACAAACCAACTTATCCAACCAAAATAAAGTTAATTTTAGAAAAAAGATGAAACAAGGTAAAGAACCCACAAATGATCATGCAATAGCATAATGTGGGAAAAACGGAATCTTTCAGACTATAATGAAACGTAGCCTGAAATAGTTTAAGTGTAACTTCACCCTCAACATTTGGCTGAAGTGTCTCTCCATGGAAATAAAAAAAAATGTTTATAAAAAATATTGGCGGGGTGGGGCTGAGTCACGCCTACCTGCCCAGGCGGCTGTCTCAGCCAGCAGTTCAAAGAGTGTGTGTGTGTGTGTGTGTGTGTGCGCGTGCCTGTCAGATCCCAAACAGGCTGACAATGCAATGTAGAAATGAGTCTGTGTATGTGTAATAACAAAGCTGAATAACATCAGTCCACCTCTACTGACTAATCCGAGTCATGAAGTAACACACGGAGCCATTTTGCTCTCAGAGCTGATAAAATGAAAACAACGTATCAAAACCATTATGCAAACAGGCCGAGTCAAGTGTGGGAACTGTTAGCTCTGATATCAACATCAAACTTCAATCTCCAACACAAACACAGGCTAGTTAGCTCAAAGTTAATGTATATCAGTCTAAAAATAGATTTAATCCAAGTCCAGGAAAGCATCATTAATTGTGTTTGTTTATTTCCTGTCTGAAGTCTGAAGATCACTTACAAAGATGACAAGCAGGATGACGTTCCATGGGAACTTCCTCCTACAAAGAGAGAGTGGGATTAGAAAAATTCACAGCAGGGGTTTTCTATAAGTATTATAAGCACCAGATATATCACACTGTAGAACTTTAAATGTGTCTGATCAATAGAACTGCTATAAGTATTCTTTATATTATTATTGTTTGTAAAACTGAGCAATCACTCACCGGGGGCCTTTACAACAGACTAGTACAAGGTGGACGACGATATATACACCGCTGAAAGAAATAATGTCAACATTCAAAAACGTTTATTTTCATACACTGAAAAGAAACTGTTGAAACTGAGAAAGACTTACTAGGCTGTCCAGTAGAGAGCTTGGTTTCGCTGTATGAAATATTTGACAGGTTCACTGTGGGAAACACAAGCAAGGTTACAGCATGATTCACGCAGACACATGTACAAACAGCCACAGACACACACTCAGTCTACTCACACAAAGGTGAATACAGCCACGATGCCTGTGGTGACGAGGAGCTGAGTCGCCAAAATCAAATACACCTAAAAACACAAACAAACCAAAAGGGACATTACACTCTGGAGTTTTTTATCTTGTCTTACATATGTCATTTTATACAACAGAAGAAAAATATACAATCTTACACAAATATGTGAAATTATTAATTGAACTAGTCAGAATGGTGTAGATACCATGCAGCTATATCAAGACTAGTCAGAATTAAAGTGTAAATATCAGAAACTGGAATTAAAGATAACAGTAACAATCCAACTGAATTGTAGATATCTACAAGAAACCTCTACACGTGAATAAAGTTTGAATCAAAAACGTGCCTCTGCATGACAGAGAGCTACGTGTGTGATTGGAGGTGTCTCTATCACTCACAGCAGACAAGCTGCACTGGGCTGAATTCATGTCTGTATTTACACACATCCTAGCAATGCAACCTCTTCCAGCAGGTTGATTTTGTGCTTTGGAACATAACTGCTGTGAAACAGTCAAAGCTTAAAACAAAATAATGCATTTAGAAAGAGTCTGTGGAATGAATGAATGTATCTTTCATCACAAGCTTAGCTCTGACTCCAGTGTAATGTTTCACAAACTGGTACTTAACCAACATAGGTTTGCATGGCCAGAATACTGTACCTTTCTGATGAAGGCATGCCGAATACTCAGACTGTCCCAGTTGCTGCCGCTTGCAGCAAACTCATCACCTGTGACATCACCAGAACAGACAGATTATGAGCACTGAGCAAATAGAGCACTTTTGTAACTACATTCATCAATTTTACAGACTTCCTACAGGCGACTTTCTACCAAGAAAAACTAAACTTTTTGTTGAACTCTTGGCTACTTTATGTAGCTTATTTTTATATTTTCAGTATATATTTGCCAATTTTTTACATTTTTCATTTTCCTTTGTAAATTAAGGCAGAATTTGATCGGTGGATGACGCTTCCAGCGATTTCTTTGTGCTTGCACAAAACAATAAAGTTCTTCAACCCTGAATTATAAGACAGCAGCTTCTCAAGTGTGATGTCAGGCAACCCCTCTGCTGATATATTTCTGTCTAATTCAACTAACATAGTCTGAGTGAATTCACTTTCCCTGCAACATATCATTTTACAGGTAAATATGAAATTGCACGCAGCATGGTGGTCTTTCTGTGTTCCATGTTCTACCCATGTCTGTATTAGTTTTCTCTGGGTACTCCAGTTTCCTCCCACATGCCTAACACATACAGTTTGGGGTTAGGGTTAATTGGAGACTCTAAATTGACTGTAAGAGTGAATGGTTCTTGTCTGTGTTGTCTTTGAATTATGTGAACAGTGAAGTTTTTCAGAAAATGTTTGTTTTAGGTTATAAAATTATGGCAGAGCAGAAGCTTAGAAATGTCCTCTGCAATGACTGCTGGTTAAAATATAATTATTAATGTACCATGTTTCAGTCACTATTTCATACTTGTTCTGTTTAACAACAGAAACCAAACATCATGCAAATGATCATTATGAATTCTGATGTATGTGTATATAATGTATTTGAGCATAGAGAGTAGAAGAGAGAAGCAGATTAACTAAGAGTTCAAATGACTGAGTTAGCAGAATGTAAATATGACGGTCTTTCATGAATATCCATATTACATCATATGACATGTAAAAATGTATGAGCCGGATTTAGCTGTTTCCAATTGAAAGTAGTTAATGCCAAATAAAACTTAAATTACAAAAAGTCCATTCATATATGGTTGGAAAAAATGTGTTTGAACTACAGGAGCTATTAATTTGTTTTTGTTGTCTTAGTACACTGAAGACATTTAGGCTACAGATCATGAATGAGAGAATTTCACTTTTTACTTCCTGGTTTTTGCATCCAGACATGTTACACAACATACTACATAGCTCCTTCTGTTTGAAACCACCCATTTTTCAAGTGAGCAAAAAATACTGGAACATGTGACTGACAAATATTTGATCATAACCCAACTGAGCAGTATTTCCTGTCCTTATGAGAAGAAACAGACAAACAAACAAACAAGATCTGAGAGAGGCTGCGGTCGAGGTCTGATAAAAGCAACACTAACGAAGAGTGCAACAGTCTAGTGTAACTTCTATTTTTTTCTGTGCAATTTTTACTAGTCCTACACCCATGCAGCAAGAAATCTGCTTCCATAGCTGAAATGTTAAAAGCTGAAGTTAAATGACTTATCTGTTCCTTCACTTTTGCTCAGTTAAAATTGGTGTGGTCGGATACAAGAGGTGCAATATCCCAAGTTGTTTGACTCATAGACCTGGGATTAAAATGTTTTTCATTGTATATAAATATGGTTTTGACCTGTTTACATTTAAACATGTCAGTATCCACAGTGAGATTTGATTGAGCATTGTAGTTATTAAATGTAGTCACATGCATCCCTGACCAGCTTCTGCTGTGGTTTTTCTGATCAGATCTTATTTTGTTCTCAATGTTTCGACATTTACATATGCGGTCGAGCTTTATCTGATTGCAATCCAGTTACCAAAAAAGCATTGTAATGCCAGGTGTAAATGGGGTAATAGATGCAAATACCAGGAAACAAAAGCTGAAACTTGGAAGTCTTTTTGCATAATTATGTTTCTGATCTTAAACCAAAATGTCTTGGAGTTGGTTGTGACTATTGGTCTTGACTATTGGTATTAAGGTTTGTCTTAATCTGCTGTTTTGATCTTTCTGTTTTTGTCCAATTGATTGAATAATGCATTGAAATTATTTGTATTATTTGTCAAAAAAGAAGAGAATACTGTCAATGTATTTCACTTTGCTTTAAAAAAGGGATAGCTCCATTATAAAACACACTGACATGCTTGGTACCCTGCTCTTACCAGAGCTCAGGACATCTGATGGTATGGTAGGTGGAATAATAGGGGGCATGGGAGGTGGATTGGGGTAGCCTGCCCCTGGAGGCCCAGCGTGGTAAGGCTGTCCTGGGTATGGGCCAGGAGGGTAGCCAGCTGGCTGGCCTGGGTACAAAGGAGTGTTTGGTCCAGTGGGGTAGGGAGCAGACGGCTGGCCTGGCTGGAAACCACCATAAGATGGAAAGCCATAGGCAGGGGGAGGTTGGTAAGGTCCGTCCTGAGGTGCATACAGCGGGCCATGAGATTCCTCATACCCTGGAGGGTAGTCTGACCTGGACATGATGTCTGTAAAGGAGGGAAGTATGAGAAAATGCAGGTCATATCTGTTTCACACTTTTATGTACAAAAGGCGACAATGGAGTGTGTGATAAGCAGAGAACAAACAACGAGAACCATTCCCAGCCACGGCCAATATGCACTGGCTTTAATCGAAACACATCCACTTGTAGACAGGCTTTTAATGCGCATCTAATTAATATTTATGCATTGGAGAACTGATTAAATGACTAAATTTATGTAAAAGAGGTAGTAGTGACAAAGTGTGTTTTTCAGCAGCTTTCAGTAAAAAAGAAACAACACTGTTGGCTTAGTCAGATGAGTCTGAGTCTGGGCCTGACACAATATATTGACGCTTGCTTAATGAACAACAAATGGTGGTTCAGAAAATGGGGCAGCAAAGCTGAGCTGGAGTAGAAACAGTGTCCTATTACATACAGTCCTGAGAGGTGGAAATACAAATTTAATGTTCCATGGGTGTGGGGCACTTTCAAATTCGCAAGTTGACCAAAAACCAAAGATATACAAGATAAAGACGTTTTATCCAACAACTGGATTTGGCTGGGTGACAATCATACTTGAACTAAACTAATAAGATGCATGTGGGGTTTTATCAGGTTAAAGTGCATGGTTCAGCTGAGGGAAATATCTACAATGTTACTCATAGAGACTAATCCATAATGGATTTACACTCATAACATTTAGTAGAAAATCGTGTCATTTTTCTCCTCATTATATTCCAATAGAAACTAAGCCATTGCATTATTATTTGTCTTACTAGTTTGCTCCTATTTGATCATTTATTTAGAAAATGCCAAATGTTCTCAAAGTTCCCATTTCACTGGGAATACACACAGTAAAGGAATTCAAGAGCTGGCTCCACCTTGTGCTGACGTTACATCACCCGAGCGCCAAGCAACAGGACAGAAAACACTAAATGGAAAAAAGTGCCTCAGAGTATCTGCAGAATAACAGAAACATGCGCGGAGGAGCTGGACCAAATCACTCTTGGGTCACAGCTAGAAAATGACAGGACTTAAGTAGTTTAGCAGGACGTAACTCTGCTCTACAAGTTATGTCAGCCAGCCCTAGTTGTAAAGTATACACCCTGTTAACGTCGGAATTACTTCCATGACGTTGCATAATGAAAACTACAGTTCCTCAAATAGAATATCTGTTTACACGTCACTGTGCCCAACAGGCTTGTGAAGTCTATCGTGTGGGTGGACAAAATAACAAAGACTTTACAAGACAACATCAGTCAGAACAGGTTCAGCAAAGAATGTTTCACATTTCGTTGAGACCGTCTAAGCTTTTGATTTGACTTTGAGGCTGTTGTTGAAGAAATAAGAGTTTTATTAAATGTCAAGGACTTATCTCACAACTGACATCTTCCTGTTTTTGTCCTTAGTCATCATGACTTGTATGTCATTATCAAATGTTAACAACTTGAAACAAACAAACTTTCTTATTAAATTAACTGTGAATTTTAATTACAGTACTATTGCAGAACATTGCTGAGTTCATCCACAGAAAAGTTAGTTAGTAGGTGCAATTTAAATTCGTAGCAGAGAAGGGGAATCAGGAAATGTTGAGGGTATTATATTCCCTTATTTATATATATGTCTTTTATTGCATTGATTATATTTTTTATTTCATATAGGTAATATCTTACAATAGTAGTCAATTAATTAGTTGACAGAACATTTCTGATCAATCAATTCAGTTTTTTTTCTGTAAAAAGTGCAAAAACCCATAAAGGTTCTAGTTTCTACAATGTTTAACTATGGTTAACTGAATATCTTTGGGTTGTGGGTTGTTGGACTACTACAGAGTAGTTCACATGTGGGGAGACAGCAGTACTAATAATAACATGATTCTATAATGTGATCGTGGACCATATGAAGGTGGATTGCGATTCAGAGATCGAGATAGTGGATCTTGATTGTAGTGGCAGCTGATCTAGGATCGTAACAGTGGATTGTGGATCATGGTGGGGGCTGATCAAGGATTATAATAACAAGACTGATTGATATACAGTGTGACTACTCACATATCCTACCATTACTGGCAATAACTCCCATTTCAATTGTCACTGCTTCTCCCTTCATCTCTATCAGACACTTTCTCATCTATAAATACTTCAAACATTGACTAACCTTTCCATTTAGTTAACAACGTTTCTTTCTAATCAGTGATGTTAATACTATTATTTTGTTGATGTTCTCATTTACACAGCATCTGTTGCTTTTCTGTCCTGGGAGAGGGACCCTCACATGTGGCTCTCTGAGGTTTCTAGGTTTTTTCCTGTTAACAGGTCTTTTTTGTAGTTTTTTCTTACTCTTGTTGAGGGTTAAAGACAGAGGACAATACACCTTGTTAAGCCCTATGAGACAAACTGTGAATACCGGCTGTAAAATACGATTTGATTGGTATTTAATTCCCTTTAGGTTCCAGGATAATGACAGGATGGATGCTGAGCCATAACATGTTATTAGTGACACCTGTCCTTATCTTCACGTGACAGCTGTCAAAATGTCCGCCCTGCGTTATACTGAATGTCCACTCTGGGTTGAAGAGTGTTGAGAACAAGATAAGAAGTCAAAGTTTTCCCACAGAGGGGTCACTTCAGAGGGCTGTGCCCAGCAGAGGAACCCGAGGCCGGGCACTGAGCCTCCAGCAGCCCGCTCCACCCTTTCCGCCAGCAGCGGACCTCAGCTAACAAACAGCCTTTTCAGGTGACTCACGATAAACAACCATGAATAACACCCAGTCACAAACGTCCCAGGGGGGGGAGAGTTGGCCCCGCAGCACCATGAGCACATTACACTAACAACAGCCTGGTTTGAAATATGTTTCTGCGGCTTTACATCGTTACAAACAGTTTGAAAAAGTAGCTTCACTTACCGACTGTGAGGTGTGAACGCAGCAGGCACTTTCGTCGCACCCAAAATGTCAGAGCTTCCTGTCGTCAGCCACAGCCACGCCCTTCTGCTCCAAATAAACTACAAACTCCACAAAACACTGAGAGACGAGGACAACACTGTCAGCGTGTCCAGCGGCGGTCCCCTGTCCTCACGTGTGTGTGTGTTTGTGTGTGTGTGTGTGGAGCTGCTGCAGATGAACAGAACATATCCTGGCATAGTGAGAACCAGGGTGGAGTCCAGCTGGAGGGAGTGTGTGTGTGTGTGTGTGTGTGTGTGTGTGTGTGTCTACAGGGCCTGTCACTCCCAGCTGACTCACTTTCTACAGGCACGTCTCAGATTACTGAATGAAAGACATAGCAACCAGAAGTTACATTTATTTCGTTCGTTGTTTACTTGAGTACATTGTTCATGTATCAGTACTTTGCACTTTCACTATATATCAGAAAATACTCCGTTACAAGTTTTCAATGCTTTGCCTTGCATTGGTTTTATCTTTATATTTTAAAAAGTAATCAATTTCATAGAATGGAATTGATCCACTGATCCAATCAGAGCAGACATGTCACATTAAACCAGCAACATCACTGGTGAAGATGAAAAAACTGAAATGAATCCAGAGGATGACACTCACCCATAATGATGTAATTAAAAACACTCTTAAAGTAAAAAAGTACTTTCACTTTTAATACTTTTAGTATATTTAAACACGTACTTATTTTTTTCCTGAGGTACAAAAGAGGGTACTTCTTGATGATGTTTGTGTTTTTACATAAAATGTAAAATGTATTCAATGTACATTCACTAATGTAATAATGCAAACGTTGAAAATAATTACTCTTCAGGTTGTGTCATTGTGTTTAGGATTTATGAATCACATGGGAATGAATGTTAATCTTTCAAATATTACATTTCTACTGAGAGACTTTAGTAAGCGTTTTAATTTGCTGCAGTGATTTGTTCTCTAAATAAACGGAAATCTGCTTCTCAGGATAACAACAACAAATTCATTCAGCAATCTGTATCATACAGGGACAATAAACATACAAACACCCCAAAACAGACACACACGGATGAGGGAATGAGGATGAGGAAACATTTGCAGTTGGACTTTTTTGCATTTGGAATTGCACTTGGTTGCAGTAAGCTCATACAAATTTGAGGACAAGCTTCCTGGTCAGAGTGTACTTGGGCTCCGGCATTTGTTTGAAGTTCAAATACTCTTTTCGGCTGACGTTCCTGTTCACACGTGTCAGAACAGCTAGTATGTCATCATCCTCCAGGCTGCACAAAAACACAAGGACACATGACAAATTATGCAATTTAACAATTTATCACTTATTACTAGCAACCAAAAAATGTATTATTAAAAGTCGATGGCAGAAGCTACAGCACAACAATGCTTTTTGATTGATAAGAGTCTAATATAAAGTCTGACAAGGCTCCAGAGTCACCTGTTGCATGTGCATGTATAGCTCATGTAAATATTTAACATCCATTGGTTGAGACTCAACAATCAACTATCTTTCTAGTGATCCCACCTAATGCAGCTTTTTTTTTCTTTTTAAACTAGGTTTTACAATTTAAACAAGGAAAGTGTGTTACGATGGAAAATAAAACAACCAGAAAGACGAAAAAGACAAGGCATAGTAGGCATGGTTATCTGCATCCATTTTCAAAATTAATTGTACATAAATCATAATCAGTCATGTTTCAAGTATTCTTCTCTGTGTCATACTGTATCCATTTTTCCCATTTCACTATAGAAACTTTTTCCTTCATTCTTAGCTTGTAGATCATTCTTTCTCAAGACTTCTAACCACTGAGTTATAGTAGGTGGTTCACTCTTACACCAGTTCCTTGTTATTGCTTTTTTACATGAAGTAGCGGGTCAGGCTGGATTTTCTGTTGTTTTATGGATTGAATTAGAGCATCTTTTGCCTCTATGTTCCAGTTTTCCAGCTCTTTAATTCTCTGTTCGGCTTCCGCGATTCTCGTATTTTGCGTGGCCAGCTCTGTTGTTGTTTTTCTGAGCTGTTGGTTGAAGCCTTTCTCAAAATCCTCAAGTTCTTCTTTAATTTTTTTTAAATTTCTTTTTTGAATGTGGTGAGGTCCTTTTAACTCGGCTTTAAAATCCTAGATTTCCTTAATGATGTCTTTCTGTACTTTTCGTATTGCCACAGCCGCTTCAGTCTCCGCGTGTGCGTCTTCTCCGTCAGGGTCGTCCGCATTAACGCCTCCTTCTTCGGTGGTCATTCTAGGTTGTTTTATTGGAATCTTTTGGTTTGTTTGTCTTCTTGACTTTCCTACCCTTTCCATCTTTGCCTCAGATGTGTCTATATCTATCAGGTTTGTCGAGTTCGGAGATTTTTTTATCGAGTGCTGATCGGGAGCTAATTACCTATGCTGCCATCTTGAGTTGGAGCTAACCGGAAGTGCTCACCTAATGCAGCTTTCAGACAGACCGACTAAATCAGCATCCACACAGTGATTTGAGCCTGCCGTCCACCCTACTCTGGTGTTTTCAAGCACCTTAAACCGAGAAGTTTGGAAACACTGCTGACCCAGCTACGTTCTAGTTCTCTCTGGGCAAGCACAAAAATTAGGGATCAATGAGACAGTCACCTGCATTAGCTTTGTGATTGTCTCTTTGCAGTCATGACACTTATTGCCAGTAACATTTTCACATATTCATTGGTTTCTGGTTTGTAGTATTTTCAGCAACTAAGCAACCGACTGCAGAGTGGACAATCTGCTTCCTGTTTACTACTGTATGCACATGACCATTGCACACGATAGGTCACATGAAATGCATTTTCATGTGTTTTATTTTGGATTGGCATTATAACTGATACAGAGAAAAACATTTTCATATACTACTTATATAAACACTTTCTTTATTAATAAAGATGTCAAAGCTCAACAAAAACCCTTCTTACTTAACTTTGTGTGGAAGAATCTCTCACCTTTCTGCTGATCGGACCAGCTGCCTGCACAGCTCCTGGATGTAGATGGAGCCTGTGCTAGTGTTTCGAAATGATCTGCACTCAGGCACGGTGGCCATGCCGAGCAGGAAGTCTGCATCCCAAGGCACCGTCTCACCATGGATGCGGCCTGCATCTTCCTCCAGACGACTCTGTTTGACCTCCTCCTCCTGTCTCGGTGTCGGGGGACATGGCAGGGATCCTCTCTGGTAGCCACTTCCCTGGCATGCCTGGATAAAGAACAGTTTGGGCTTCCCTGCCAGGGTGCAGGCTCTTTTGCTCGTGAAGGGCTCTGTCAATTCTCGCAGTGACACCTCCTGCTCATCTATCCCAAAGACACATCCCTTTTCTCCGTGGGAGAGCACACAAACCACCTGAGATCACAGATGAATATGTCTTTAAAGTTTTCATTATGGCTCCTTTCAACTTTTGATTTTAGAGATGTTTCAGGATGATACATAATAAAACTTAGCTGGGGTTCAAACATGAGATAATTTCATATGCAAGGAATTACAATAAATACAGAAACTCTGACCATTGTTTAAAGAAAATGTTTTCAGGTCTTCAGGACGAGAGCAGGAGTTTTTGATTTCATGTTTGAAATGTTTTAATGCTCTCTCCCCTGTGCTCAATCTCCCAGCTTTCCATTAGTTGGGGAATTTTGACAAACTCGTGGCACAAAAAGTCCAAGTGCAGAAGAAAAATCCAGGAGCAGACATTTCCCATGTGCAGAAGTAGCGGGAGCGTGAGTGAGTTTAGAGAAAGGGGATACAATTGTTTGTTTGTCTCTTTACAGAGATGCAGCAACTTTTAAGTTCACTAGTTGCAGTTACACAGGCGGTTGAGTGGCAAACCATTCCAGGCTACTGGCTGGATATAACTTCATATTTACAGCACAGATATGAAAGTGCTATTGATGTCACCTGACTCTATGCAATTAAGCAAAAAGGGCCTTTCTAAACTATTGCCTTATAGTGTGAATAATAAAGTATTAACAGTAGGCACTGATGATAATGCACTGAGTGTGTGTGCTATTACTCACCAAGGCATCATGATCAATAAAGTTATTTCTGCCCAGATTGTTTAACTCCTGTCGCATGGCGTCAGCAGTCATGTCATTCAGTAACACCAATGTGAAGCCAAGGCGGGTGAACACTGAACGCAGAGCCTCTGAATCACATAGAAACGAGACAAATTGAAGAATACCAACATAGTATCACACATGATAAATATTAAGTATATGAGGCACTAGATAACAGCACATATATAAATCCTGTTCAAATACAAAAATACGTACTTGCATCCTCCTGAGTTCCAGGTCTATTTTTCAGCTGTAGTCCCGGGAATTTCTCATTGTTGATGACCACGCACAAACCACGAGGGTTATGTTTCAGAGTGTAGTACTCCGACTACAGGGTCCACACAGACAAATCATAAACGCTAATTTTTCATTTAAAATTGAACTGGATGAATGAGAGGGATTTGTGCTTTTGTGAATGGTTACCTCATCAGAAAGAGAGGATGGCTCTTCATTTGGTTCTGCGTCACAGTTAATTCTGTCTTGATCATCTGAAGAACAGAAACAGTTGAAAATGACATCTCTTGGGTGTGTGATAAGAATAATGTGGTAGATAGTTCAGTGACTCTGTATGAATGAATGGGAAGTTTGTGAGTAATGAGAAATGAATTCTTACAACTGGGCCAAGTCTCTGATATGGACAGTGAAGGTTGAGAGCGGTTGTTGACACTCTGTGGACAAAAAGAGTCACAGCATTCAGTAAACTGACTCACTGGAGGATTGACTGTTAAATAAACCCCACATTTACACACACCCACACCCACACACACACACCTGGTAATCCATACTGACCTGAGGCAGTACTCTTGTCTGATCCTGTGGGGTTATCTCTGCAAAAAGAACAATCGCTTGATGAAATTCACAGTAACAAAACATTAAAATGCACATGTGCTTGTGTGTGTGTGTGTGAGTGGGTCTCATACGGTTCTGCACAGTCAAGGCCAGTTGTTGATCGAACTCCTGCAGAGCTCCATGCAGCTCCAGGAGATTTGTGTCTGACAGTAAACCGGTCTTTTCCATTTTAATGAATAAATCCAATGCAGTCTGCGAATTAAGAAAAGAAGACACTTTTATCTGTGTGTATAGAGGCTGGTGCAGTGATAGCAACTGGTAAAGAACATGAAAACAATCAATGAAACACATAAAACATAACATAAACACAAAAAATGTTTAGGCAAAATGGCTCGAGGTCACAATGGTAACAAAATATGTACAGCTTTCAAATCATCGTATCAAATCAAATGATGTTCATATTCGACTAACATGCAAAAAAAAATACATCTAATTCCAATTTGATATGAAACGGTTGCACTGAACATAAAGACATATATATAAATATAATAAATCTCTTAGGCCTATTTGAAACTACCCTCAGCAGCTCCTGCCTAAATATGTTGGATGAAAAGATACATATTTACCACAATAAAATGTACTTAACTGTATAAATTGCACATAATTGGCAAAAACTTTAGTTTTAACTTTACTGAGCTGAGTTACAAAGTTTACAAGGGTAATATGTTGTTGACTCATAAAAACAAAAAGACGAAACAAGATTTCCCTTAAATTGCAGTTTACATTGCACTTTGGATGTAACTTTATGTATGTTCATGGGAGGCGCAATCATGATGACATGCACATTACCGTGAAGAGAATTTAACTATACGTTTAGTTCCTAATCTTGTGGAGAGGATTTTTCATTCAGAAGTACGAAGTAAAATCAGCATGTCATCATTTCTTATGTGACAGTGGTGGGTGTGTTCTCACATCGCTGGCCTCTATTTGTCTCTTGTTTAACTTGTTGCTCAACAGAAACTTCAACTTCTCAAGATTCTCCCGAGTCATGTCGTCGTATATGTTGTACAGCATCACCCTGACAGAAAGAATAGAGACGAGAGAAAAAGAGGGAAGAGACAGACAACAAAACACTCACAAGATCTGGGGCTTATAAAGACTGCAGTGTAATCGAGCCATATCTTCACCTCTTACAGTTTCTGTAAAATCCGTACTGCTCTTACCTGTAACTCGACAGGGTGGGACTGGCATCTGTTTCCTCTGGTTGCCTGCTGTCTGTCTCCAGGTAGCTGAGGAGATCTGTTCGACGGATAGTTTGGAGCAGCTGAGAAAGGAACAAACTGTTTTCCAGCAGACCCTTTTCTTCTAGTCTCAAGAACAGCCCTTTTGCATCCTTGATCTGTATGAGATCAAACCGAGAATCAGACAAAACAACAGTTCACAACATTTTGAGAAGATCAACATTGAAGTGGGACAGGGTGCCGAACCAATGAATGATAACAAATAAGAGTCACCTTAGACAGTGTTCCTACATAATGAAATAGAAAACCAAATGATTATTAATACAGGTTGATGTCAAAAGAAAATGGGGAAAATAAAACATAATTTCAGAAGATGTAAGTAGAATGTCTCTTTGATAACACACTGACTTTTTAGAAAAAGCACTGTAGTGGAGGTGAGGGTCTCCATTAACATTTATAGAATCACTTCCTGTTTGGCAAGTTGCCTTCAAAGTAAAAGTACAAGATTCATTTTATGGCTGCAATGCTTCAGATCGATTACTGCGAAAAGTTTTGAACTTTATTACTCACCTCTGAAATAGCCTACATCCATCAAACTTATGTATAAGCTGCACACATGCAAAACAAAGTTCACTCTGCACCATATACTGTTTATAAAAAGCTCTGCATACAACATCCAGCACACAAACAATAACAATAAAAGAACTGTTTGAGGAGGACTAACTAATGACAAGGAATAATTCTTCTTCTGGCAAACATGAACACTGATACTGATTTGTCTGTGAAAGGCTCATATTGGCTGATTTCTAGGCAGGTCGGCCATCCAATCATGTCATCCAAGAAAAAAAGCTTCCTGGCCTTCGGCTTCCACAGATGACTTTTTTTTTTTCATTGTGTTGTTAGAGCTTTTTATTAATTCATTGCTCTCAGGATGTAAATAGGATTATAAATACAACTGCTTCTGATAAAGATTCCCTACCCTGTCTATAAGATTAGTGCAAAGGCAAAAGTATGCGATGTGTGGTGCTCACCCCCTCCAAGCGTTTCTTGTTGACAACATCAAGACACAAGAAGCAAAGTGCTGCCACCTCAGAGGAGTCCAGCTCCTCATCTATGCGGGACAGCTTCAGTCTATCCATCACAGGCCCACTCCCTCCCACACAAGCCAGGTGCTCTGCTCAAAGGTCAGTGCTGTCGGGGAAGACAGAGAAGTTAATAAGCCAGAGGTTGGTTGGCTGACAGGTTGGTGAATCACAGACAGGTACATCGACCAATAATTTCATTCTTGGTCGTGTTTATTAAAGTCCTGCGATGGCCAGAGACGCTGGCTTTTTTTCTTCTCTTTTTTTCTCAGATGATTTTATTCCTTGATGGCTGTTGGGACGTGAAGAGGATTTCAACAAATAAGATTAAAACATGAAAACACTACCTTTAAGATGTGACAATGACAACCAGTCAGTTACAAAATTCTTACAGGAGATCCTACCCGCTCACCAAAAATACATGGCGCAGCAAGAGGTGCTCAGGGTGACGAGCTGAAATGAAAAAAGCTCAATTCTCCCTAATCTAAGTCAGTGTAACATCAAACTAGTTTAGAATCTTTTATTTAAAGGTTAAACAAGTTGCATAATGTTGCTTTAATAAAGTAAATATACCAACGGATATCACAATAACATTCAAATAACTAGAGAAATACTAAACAGCACCTCTACAGTGGACTAGTCAGAAAACTGATGGATGTTGACAGCTGAGTGGGCGTTTTAATGTAAATTATACGATAGGTCACCAATGGGTGGACCAGATCCAGACCCAGAAATATTATTCGATTTTGAGTGTTTCTATTTCACTTTATTTAAAGATGCCTTTTTCAAAAGCTCTTTATTTTTAATTGCAAACCTTATTTTACTTGAAACAAGAAAATAACTTTTATTTTATTGTCAGAGTACCCTCCAGTTTAATGTGAAAATTAATAATAAACATTGTTGAATTACTATTGAATAGAACTTAGTTTTTGACTTCATACAGACACTGATAAAACTACCAGCCTACTTCAACAGGTATGGCACTGAATCATAACACGTGAGACATTATGATGTTTCTGACCTTTGCTTGGGGAAATTCTCTCAAACTGGACCTCTTTGATTTTGAATTGAAAACCCCTGAGAAGGGATACATTAGCATCATTTCAATCTCTGCTATTATTTTAATAATTACATTATTATTTAAGTACATCCGTCTTCATGTCAACATCTGTGTCTTATTGTGAAGAAAATTGAACTTTGGGATGAAAGCTGCTATATAATTGTTAATATCATACATTTTCACATTTGTTTGTCACATTTTGATCTAAACAGTTTGAAGCTAACCTTCATTAGTATTAGCATTGCTACCACCCTGCCTATCGCCTGTGACGTCAGCTCTCCCGACATGGAAACTTTCTTAAGGTTTGAAGTTATAGAGTTTGTCTTACTCGAGCCTGGGCGGCGGAACAGTGACGACAAGTTCACTTTGAATTGACTTCTCAACAGACGAAATTCCACATCGGTAACTTACGAAGTTAAAAGGTTTCCGCTGAGGACTCGTCTGTCTCCTTCTCTTCGCCTTCACAGAGCGGAACTCTTCGTCTTCTTCAACTCGACAAAACTTTTTCCTCAAGTCTAACTTTGAGTTCTCGACTGTTCCTGGGTTTCACTTTCAGCGGAAGTAATATGTTGTCCAATATGTCAGTGACGAGTAGACGTTTCCGCTTTCCTTCAAAATAAACGCCTTGTTTACGGAAAATGAATATTCAGAGGCATTTAATATACAAAACTCAAATTACATCAACAAACGTTTATCTCCCTGTCACAGTTATGATTAGCACAGTGGAAAAGACTGGCCTACAGCTCCAGTTTGACAAGTGTGGAGAAGGTTTATTTACATTTTTTGCTTTTATTTTCTAAGCAGTCAGGCTTTGACTTAGACGTGGTGAAACTTTACATTTGTCTTGAACAGACACCTTGAGGGGCCTTTGCTCAAACCTGAAAAAACAAACCATCTTCCATGCTCGTGTAAATGAACACATTAGTACAGATGGGATATAGTTTCCTGTAAACTACTTTAAGCAGTGATGTGATTTTGCACCCTGACTTAGCACTGACATATATCCGATTGCAAACCACAATATTCAAACTTAAAAATAAACTTAAAAATTTAAATCTGAGTCACTACATAAGCATCAGTTTGGACGGCTTCACATGATTAGGGGCAGGGGGCATCGCTCCACATCATTGTCTTGAATCTTTTATGACTGGATGATATTGGTATGTAATTTAGTCAAACTAGCAGCTATTCATATTCATGCAGCTATTATACAATAATGATAAAACATTTCTTCAGAGGGGCAACTAAAGGCTAACCTTAGCCCTCTGCAATGCACATCCATGAGCAAAACCAAACTACAAACACTTTGAAACAAACCACTTTATTCACAATTCATTTTGATTCAATTTTCTTTTGTTTTTTTGCAAAATCACATAGCTCAGGTGAAGTCTCATGTTTAAAAGTTCCTGTTCATTTCCACCATATTTTCTTCAGGACCATCTAGTTGTCTATCACTCTGAAGAAAAGAAAAAGCATAAGTGATAGTGATAAATTAACAGCAAGTTATGAAATACAGTTTTGATTGTGTGAGCCCTTGAGTGTGCCTTCAGAACAATGAGGCTTTCTGGTTTGAGTCTGGAGCTCGCTGGGAAGCGAATGGGAGGAAGTACTCGCTGGCAAATCGGAAGACATCATCTGGTTTCCTCAGCAACAACAACTGCAGAAAGTCAGATATGAGAGCACGGATCTCTGGGTGCTTACTAAAGTATGAGCTGTTGTCCACCCTCAGTTCCTCCTGCCGCAGGGAGACATTCACACACATTTACATTCTGTTTTATTGAATAGGAGATGTATGACAGACCTGATTATTCAGCTAATGTCTAAGTCCATTTAAATCCACCTTCACCTTTCTGTCCAGGAACTTAGAGCACATCTCCATGTCTTCTTCCCAAACCAGGGGGATTTTCTCAAAACCTAAAACCACACACACGCACACACTTGTTCAGCCACTGAGTGGAGGTCTAAGGAGCTCTTGTTGACATTTCACAGTTCACACGGTTCCCCCATAAAAACCTAAACCTAAACCGTAAGACATGTCTTCACCTAAAAGGTTCAGTGTGTAGAATTTAGTGACATTTAGTGATGAAGTTGCATTTTGCAACTGAATACTCCTCACCTCCGCTCCCAAACATGAAAGAGAACCTGTGGGAGCCTTCAGTGGTCACAAAACTCTAAAGTTGTTTAGTTTGTTAGTCTGACCTGCTGTAAAAAAACATGGTGGCCTCCATAGAATGGACCCACTCCTGATGTAAATATGACGTATACAATTCACACAATTTAGATGAAACACACTAGTGAAAACATCACTAGGATTACTTTTTTTGATCCCTTTCACCTAAATCTTACACACTGGACATTTAATACCTTCATCTGCTTTGCTTTTTGTCACCATATGGAAGACAATTTACCATAATGTGACAGTGTGAACAGATTTAGTGAACACACACATTCGAGCCCACACACAAACATTACTGACTTTTATTAGAGAATCAGTAATTACCTTTTCCTGGCTGTGATGGCAGCTGCAGAAGCCTTACAGTGACTGGTGATCCCACGTGCACTCTACTGGCCAAGTGCCTGATCACAGAACATTTTATTCATCAAGTTACATTAACAGTTTCTTTTCTTTTTTTATGCACGCATCTTCATTTTAAAAATCAGGTAGCAAAACTTTTTGATAATTGATTACATGGCCCTTTCAAAATAATTGAAATGGTGTAAAATCAACAGTCGAAGCCTACTTGATCCACTGTGTTGAGCAGTGAGACAGTGGGTGGGCACTGGGGTGGGCAGTGTCTACAAAGTGTAAGAACCTTAAGAGGCTGTCATTGAACCTACCCGTCCTCCAGGAAGTAGCACTGCCAGGTAGCTGGGCCGTCCTCCACAGAGTGAACAGTCCTCTCCATCCCAAAAACTTCCACTGTCTCACCCCCGATGTCCATCTGCTTCACACCCAGCTCACTCTAAACACAGACACACATATAACCAGAGTTCACTTTTCATAGAAGCCATTGACGGAACAAGAAATCTAATTAACACTTACAAAGGTGATGTGGGACATGTGGAACCCTTGGTTGAAGGAGATGAAGGTCATGTTCTGGGGCATCGTCTTCCTCAGAGCGATCAGGCGCATCAGCAGCAGGATGGAGCCCTCGGTTACCAGCCCTCTTGTGACAGATGTGGGATACGAGACACTCTCCTTCGTCACCTCCTATATGCACGTTCACACAAAAAGGACTACACCTCACCAGCTTTGTTTACATCTTCATACAAGAATTTTATGGATGGTAGAATAGCATTGAGAGAAACATGAGTCAAATCACAACAATATCAGAGTCATTAGATCCCAGTTTTGCTAAATGGAAGCAGCTTTGTTGTCTCAGGTTTTTAACTATGACAAAAGCCATAATACAGTAAAGGCATCTATTCAAAATACTAATGTTTACAATAGGTCTTGAGCTGATAGAACGTATTTGTTATTGTCGTCAGGATTTTAGGCTGTTAATGCTCACTCCAGACATTCCTCTCTTACCTCTCCTACAGTGGTAACTTTATTGATCATCATCTGCCCGTCATGCTGCACCATGTGACACCTCTTCTCCAAAATGTGGCCTTCAAGCTGAAAAAAGGATATTTAAAGACAAAATGAAAAATGAAAAATGAAACCAGAAAGACGTGGCACAACAATGTAAGACAGACAAGGGCACATAAGGTGATGTAGATGTGTAGGTGGAAGCCAGCAATGACTTACCTTCACATACTCGTGGTAATCTTCCTCCAGCAGCTCCAGGTTTGTAGTCAGGTATGCTTGGAAATGATCAATAATAGCATTAGAGCACAATTACAAAAATAAAAAAGGAAAACAAGATAAAATAAAATATTGTTAAATGATTAAAATAATTGGCAAGGTCAGAAAAATTTTAAAAAGTGTTTCTTAATTCCTGAGAAAGCAAACCTATAAAAATGTGTCTTTAAGAGAGATTTAAAAGAGGATGAGGAGTTTGCCTGAATGATCTATTCAGCGAAATTGTTCCAAAGACTGGGAGCCCTGACAGAAAAGACCCACTCCCCTTTGGTCCTCAGTGGAATTGTGAGCAAGGCCTTCACTGAGGAGCTCCGGTTACGGTCTTCACATATGGTGTTGAAAGATCTGAATTGTACTTGGGAGCAAGTCCAGAACAAGCCTTAAAAGTTAACATTTCTAAATCAATTCTAAAATTAACTGGAAGACAATGAAGAGAGGCTAAAATCAGAATAATGCGCTCCCTTTTGGTAGATTTAGTGAGAAGTCTGGTTGCTGCATTTCGGAAGACTTGTAATTTATATTATTATGTAATTAAAGCATCTGGATAAAAACATGCTGATGTTAGAGAGTTTCCTGAGATGGACAACTGTGTTGACAATCTTATTTAAGGTGAGGTCATAATGAAATGTGATAATAAGGTTTTTACATTTGTACCCAATGTTTTGTGTGTGTGTTGCAATGTAGAGACAGTGTCAGGGCCAATCGTCATTACCTCACTATTGCCAATATTTAACTGTGAGAAATGTTGAGCCTTTCATCATTTTATATCCAGGATACAGCCATTGAGACTATCAACTTGATCAGAGTCAGTGGGGTTAAATATGCAGCTATTTGTCATATAGATGGAAGTTTACTCTGCCAGTGAAGACAGAGCAGAGGAAATGAATGTACTAACACATGTACGGTGGCCGAGAGAAGTCAACACACTACAAATTGAAAAGAAAAGTACACGTGCAAATTAGGAAAACAACTTCATCAATTTGATGACACGTGCACTGCAAAAAGTCACAACACATGCAAATACAGAAACGTGCTGCAAATTGCGAAAAATGACGATGGAAATGTTTCCAGAGGATCCAAAAAAAGTGATGAACCTGGTTGTACTTTAATGCTTTGTGAAGTTCCATCACCACTGATGAGTAGCAGACCAATAACTTCACAAATGTGTTCTCAGATTGACTAAGTTGTTTTCTTGATTTGCAAGTTTTTTCAACTTGCTTGTGTTTTCTAAAATTCTCTCGGACACCGCACATGTGTAGAAACTGACGAAACAATGGAGATCATCAGGAGCGGCCCCTGCCTCCCAGTCACCTGTCACTGTTGTTCCACAGGGGGAGTCGTCGATGGCTCCCTGGCTCTGAGCGTGCAGCCGCACACAGGGCTGCTGGATCCTGCGGGCGAACTCCACAGTCACACTGAAGCTCCCCACCTGTCTGCCGCCCTCTGACACAGTCACCAGAGAGTCTGGGAACACACACCTCTGCAGCTCGGCAGGCTCTGCAGGGGACAGAGGAGAACAAAGCCACAATGGGCAGCTTTTAAAAAGAAAATGCTAAAGACGACAAATCTATTTTCTGATCTTTGCTCCCATGAAATGTAGAAGCTCTATGTGGCTGATGTGTCAAAAGCAGGTGGTGCTGACTCTCAGACATAGACAGGTTCTGTTTGCTGCTGAGGCTCCAGACTCAGACATTAAACAGAAAAGTCTCTCACCAATGCTGGACATGAACGTGATGGCTTCATCAGAGGCTTTCAGCTCTTCTCCACGACTTGGTCCTTCACCCACAGTTAAAGCTGCTGCAGGAGTCTTAACCTCCAGAGAGGCTTCCATTGTTTGTGCCTTTACCTCAGGCAGATAATCCAGGAAGTGCAATAAGTCCCAGTGTGTCTGGATCAGCTTTAAGAGAAGGACATTTGAGACTCTGAGCTCGTTTTTATCATCTTTAGTTGTTTTAATCTGCGGGACTTGTTTCTACAGCCTCATCGGAAAAGAAGACGAACGGTTTCCAGTAGTCATGACAACGACGCTGCGGTACCATAGAGACGGTAGTACGTGCGCGGTTGAATCCGGAAGTAAATTACCGTAATACCTGCTCACAACATGCCACAAATGAATTAATATTCTGATAAGATTAATGTTAACGATATAAATGTGCAATTATTAAGACAATGTTCCTAATTGTCCCTAATTATGTTTGTGATCTTTGAAGCAACAAAATATGCATTGAGTTGTTTAAAAAAAAAAAAAATAGTCGTCCCACTTTATCAAACATGATTGATAATGTGGGACATCATGCTTTGGATAATCTGGGACAGTCATTTACATTTTTCCAAATGTGGGAAATATACATTCAGGGACTGAATTAAAACAATGGTAAACTAAAGAGATGTAGCATCTGATCTGCAGCTGTCAGACAGGAATTAATGGCAAATACAGTCTGCCCCTGTCTGTTGAGTTAGCCCAACGTAATCCGTTCTGTGATCTGCAGCCATTGGTTTCAGTGAGCATGTGGAGTGATCGATGATGATGGTCTCTCAGCTAAAAGGTTCCACAAGCAGCCCCAACAGAATGGTGAATTACCAAATTGTTTTTTATGATAAACTTTAAATAGAATGTTTTAAATTGATTTCATTGTTTCTTTATTTATTCAAGGGTTCCTTATGAAAGAAATAAGATTTTTATAAGTCAAAATTGATGAAGGAGATTTCTATGAATAAAATACAGATTACAAAGTGACCCGTCCCAGATCATCAACTTCAGGCAGAATTTTCCTTTTTGGCAGAGAATACTCAAATCTGAGTTGTGTCTCCTCTGAGTATGAGATCTCCATTATATCTTCTGGTGTGGTTAGAAAACTTCTAAAGGATTACAGAAAGGTATAATATGTTGATCCCAGATTTCTCAAATTCACTGTCAATTTGTCTGTTTGTTTAGTTTATATATTTCCACTCAATGTTACATTTTGTCTGTTTTGTTACTGCGAATGGAAAATTGTAAATCAGCACATACAGTAGACAGATTTTGTAAGAACACAACAAATTATATGATCCTGATGCTTTAAGCTATGTAAATACTACAAGAGTTAAAACAATATATCTATGGCAATAAAAAGCCACTAAAAATCAAGAAGATAAAAATGACAATATATGACAGGAGTCAGTTATGACCCAAACATCAGTTGTAACAACACAACTTAGTAGTTGCACAATTATATGGAATAAGGATAATAATCACTTAAATATTTAAAAAGAAAGTACCGACGCTTATCAAATGTTTCCTCTCTGTCAAAATGTACATTATTCTATAATAATTACGTTCTTTACATCCCCCATATAAATATGTTAAAGCTGTATTGGTCTTTTTTTAAACATTAATGACTTATTGATAGTGTTACTCTAATGAGAATCTTTTCTTTTGGGTTTTAAATAACACCAGGATTCAGCTGCATGGGCTTCTGTCTGTTCTGCTTTTGTGGTACTACACAATAATACACGGTTTGAAGCTTCATTAAAACCACCACTAGTAAACTTTATTTTTTGACATGTCTGGAAAAGTATAAAAGTCCTCATTCTTATGATTGAGAGATAATTCAGAAAGATAAAAAATGACTGAGTACAATTAAGAAAACTCTTCCCGAGTTAACAATTAACACTAAATTAAGGGGGTGACAGCACAAGTGTTTTCCTCAGGGTGAACCTGACTTCAGGCATCTGCTTTGCTGCTCCACATTGTTTACAGCCCTCTTTCTGGCTTACTTCATTATTCACACGGTTGAGGATGGTGTTGATATCATCATGCCTTGAATAAATAAAATGTACAAAAACATTAATATAACTATCATGGCACAGATTATGATCAAATAATGCATAGTACAAAGTGAATATTAGTTCAAATTCAAAACAACTTTATTTTTCCCTGGAAGGCAATTCATTAATGAATCTATATTAATGGTTATGTCACCAGATCTACAATATATTGTCACTTTTATATTTTATGCATCGTATACATACTTCATTTAGAGTTTTATATTTACCTGGGACAGCCCTCCTTTAGCTGCTGGCACACTGATTGGATGAACCAGCTCCCGTCGATTGGGTGTCTAAATGATACACATTCCTCAACAGTAGCGATAGCAACCAGAACATCGGCCCCTTCAGGAATGAATGGTGAGGTTGAATCGTCAGCCTCCAGGTCTTTTGACAACACTCCAAGCTGTATCTGCTTTCCTTGGCAGGCCTGGATCAGGAACACTTTGGGTTTACCGGTGAGGGCAGACTGGTCGCTCGACTTGAAAGTTTGAGTAATTTTTTTAATGGGGAGGGGCAACCCATCTGTCCCGATGACTACCCCATTTGATCCGTGGCTCAGAATGCAGCAGATGAAGGCATCTCCATGCTTCAGAGGTGTCTGCTGGAGTTCAGCAAATCTGCTGTCAATCCACTCCTTAACATTGAACTCCTGCAGCTGAGAGGGGTCGCTCAGAGAGGCAAAGCAGCTCAGCGCTCGCTCCATCTGGTCCTTGGTTTGGTCTTTACACATCAGCACTCTGAAGCGCAGCCAGGTGAACACCTCTGCCAAACATTCTGCAGGACAGGGTTAAAAAAAAAAAACTCAGTTAAGCCTCAAACACTAACAAAAGAGAGAATGGTGTAAAACAGTGCAGCTGTCTGTTATGTAACATACGAGCATCTTTATTGGTTCCTCTTCTCATTTTGCTTTCATTGAAGTTTTCATTGTTAATGATGACACAGAGGCCAACGGGCTGACTCTTCAACTGGTACTGCTCCTCCTTAAAACAATGAAAGCAACTGAAGACCAACATAAGAAAGACTTAACATTAAGAGTTGAGTTTTCACTAGATTACATTTTGAATGCTATTATACTACTGTATTACAAAGCAAATATTCTATGGTTATTTTTCCTTTCTTTATTCAAAAGTGTGGTCTTTCAGTTTCAGAGCAAGACTATGGACTTGTCACACAAAAAAAATCCAAGGGCAGGAGAAAATATCTAATAGCGGAGGTTTCATGTGCACAGAATCAGTGAGAGCACAAGGAGAGGAGATGAAGCTGAAGAGCAGGTGTAATTCAGTGCGAGCGCAGGTTTTGAGTGAGAGAATCCTAAAATCTGAATATATATTCAATAAGTCCTACTCTAGAACTGAAACACCATTTTCTTGAATAAAGACAGAAAAATAAGAACAAATATTCTTTATGTTAATACAAAGTACTACGCATCTGTCTGGAGACACAAAATATGTCTTGGGATTATCTGAGGAAAAAGTATGCAGTTCCCTTCTTAAGTCTTTTTATCAAAATGTATTTAAGAGTACTACTCATGCATTGTCACATATCATGCACTATTTGAATATCAGGCAGAAACTTCACCCTCTTGACCCTCTTGCTCTCTGGTGGCATAGCATCTGAGGAAACCAGAGTGAAACAGAATGAAACCTCCAAACATAAAACATTTTTTTGGTTGAAGCTCCATGTGAAACACACTATAGGCTCAAATCAATCTGTGTATGTTAACATACCTGCTGACTCTTGGACAGGCTTAGGTAGATGGCAGGTGTCATTCAGTATCTTCTTCAGCTCAGGGTAAGTACTTATTATGTCGTCGGTTTGCAGGAGGTCCATGAAATATTTGCAGGAGTCCTCTCCTTTGTTCATGATCTTATCCACAAGCTCAGTGACGTGTCCCTCCACATCTTCTTTGTTGATGCTTTTCAGGTTATTGTACTCACGTTGGTTTATCAGTTCTGTCTCCTGAGCTTTGTTTAGGATCAGCCTGTGGTCTGCAGACAAAACCCTTATAATTTCTGTTTTATTGCACCGCAGGTTGTTTTTGGCAGACATGTTGATTCTGAGATAACACAGAGAAAAACAATATTCAAGAAAACAGCTACACAAATGTGTCTTTATTTCTGCTCATATTGAAGTAGGGCTGGGCAATTGACATAAAATGTATTGAAAAAGTGACAGATACAATCCAGATTCATGATCTGACATCTAAACTAAATACATGTTTGTGCATCAATTTTAGTGAGGACATTCGTCGGCCTATACAGTCTATGGTAGTACCATTGTAGTATCACGATATGACACATGTTCATTACGACGTATTCCCGACTACTTCGCACAGGAGCGAGAATAAGGCAAAATATTTTATCAGCCAACTTCTTCTGCAAACTTTGATTTGATGCTTTTCATGTATGTTAATGGTTAACAGCAAGTAGGATTTCGATCCATTTTAACTTCCTCCACTGGAAACATTAGTGCATCACGCAGTTATACAGTCCGAATTCAACCGAGCTAACTTAAACCCTGCGGTCATCCAAAATAGCTTAAATGAAGAACGGTACTGTGAACCTGTCGTAGCACACAGTTATCAGATAAAGACTTTATTACAAACCAGGAACCGTTCGAAGCATTCCCTCCAACTCGAAGCGGTAGTGACGCCGTGGACGGGGCGGGGCGGGGCGGCCCCGAGCCGGAAACACTCGGTTTCCTGAACACTTCTGTGTTCTCCTCTTTATATACAGTCTTTGGTGTTTTCCCACCAAGAGGGGGCAGTGATGAGGCGTTAAACTGTATGGTTCAAGGTGCCGAGCAATTGTCCCTGGTGCTCTCACCGCCGCGGCCCGGGTTCGATTCCCGGTCAGGGAACACGTTTTGTGGACCCGGAATCTGACATTCATCCCTAGTTAAATCTGTTTCCTCCTCCACTCTGACCTGCTCTCACTATAACTAACTAACACCATCACTAGTTAATTCTGTTTCCTCCTCCTCTCTGASCTGCTCTCACTCTAACTAACACCATCACTAGTTAATTCTGTTTCCTCCTCCACTCTAACCTGCTCTCACTATAACTAACTAACACCATAATAAACTCTCATCACTAGTTATCAGGACCTGATCAGTACATGAAGTAACTCAGTGTTTGTTTGATTCCAGAGTTCATGAGACTCATAAACATCATGAGAAATGACTCATGATTAAATGACTGGAGCGACATGCAGACATGATCCGACACCATCGATTAATAACAAAAACCATGAGTAGGTGGTTACTCAATCATCCCAATAATAGATGAACTATAAACTTCTTCTTTTTAAGTGTGAACTGACACAACACTGCAAACAGCTGAAGTAGTACAACTGGATCATCACACTCCTGCCCAAGACTGAGGTTAGGACCGCCTTTACTCATTTGCATATGGACACAGAAATACAGAAAGAACGAAATGTGGAAATAAAATTGAGACATTTATTTGTCTATTTCCACATTTATTTATGCATTTATTTCCACATTTATTTATACATTTATTTATTCATACTTAAGTCATTTCTGGTCCTTGATAGACACCAACAATCTACAGAGTATGAATCAGAAGGAGGCTCTTGGTTTCCTAAACATCTGTACAGTATGTGACGTCATGCTTCCTCTTTCTCCAGAAATGTGTCATTGTCTTAAGCCTGTGCGTGAAAGCGACAGAGTGGAAGGACAACAGACGGTAACAGCCTCTTTTTTTATCATATTCACAGTAGTACTGTTATTATATTAAAATATGTTCTGTGTAGGACTTGGTGTAACTTACCCATGAGAGAGATAATTGTTCATGAGTATGTTCATTTGTCCTTTTTCAGAGAGTGGTGTAGCTGAGTGTGTAAACAAAACACTGATAACTTAGCTATTTTTTATTTTTTATTTATTTGAGAGATATTTTAAAGGTTTCTGTATGTGGCGGTAATGCATGCGTTGTTAAAACTCACAATCAGATGTAACTTAGAGGAGAACGAGATGAAGATTGTATTTGATGTGTCAGACCACCTCTATTTGTGAGCTCTTGAAAAAGGGGAAGTTTAAAAAAGCCATGAAATTATTCAGTGTGGAGGAGCTTGACTGTTCTTTCTGTAACTCGTCACTGTTCATGCATCTCTCTCACTCTTTCTCTCTCTCACTCTCTGTGTGTGTGTGTCCTGTAGTTTGGCTGTGATGCTGCTCCTTGTTCTTTGGTCCAGTTTCCTGGTTATGTGGCAATCAGAAGGCGGTGGGTGGCTTGACGTGATTTTTTAGTTGTAGATTAGATTTTCTGTTTCGGTGTGTGTTGTGTGTTGTGTGTTGTGTGTTGTGCAGCGACAAAACAATGTGTCCATATGCCAATGCCTCTTTTTTTTATGTTTTGTCACAGAATGGCTCATGGCAGAGTGTTTCTCCCTTGTTAGCATTGTTAGAACAAACTTCAACTCCTTCTTTGACAAAAACATGGAGCTGGTGTGGAGAAGCCAACGACCATGTACAGTTTGAGCAGTCAGGTCGTGTCAAACAATCCGACCAAACATTTGTGAGCTCTGGCTTTGCATCTCAGACTATGTACTCGCATAGGGTGAGGTGGAATTTAGCAACAACATTTCTAAAGTAGCAGAGTACCCAGCTCTTTGTTAAGTGTGCATTAAGCAAATGTTGGACAAGATGAAACCCCAGAAGTATCAGCTCAGTACCGCTTTGCAGATGTGCTAATCAAACCTACAAAACACTAGAGGAAATAAAAACATGAAAAGCACAATATGTGTTTATTTATTTTTGATGGACTTTACCTGCATGCAATCGAGTGCAAGTTGACAATCTACGGCTAAAATCTGTACTACTATTGGTCCTCCTCATGCTTTAAGTCCGCATGAACTATGTGTTCTCTTAACAGTGATGGAGGGCAACAATCAGGACGTCTGTCAGGGGGAAAAGTTTTTTGAGGAGGTGAGAATCGAAACACTCTAATAACCTTAAAAATCACGCATGCACAATAGAAGTTTGCTGGATTTATATAGATTTATTTTATTTTTTATTTTTTTTAAACTATTTCAGCTCCACGTCAGGAATTCTTCGCTCCATGAGATACGTTTAGAGAAGACTGATGTAAAGGAAACCTTCACATGCCTCCTTTACCCATCAAATCGACTCAACTGCTCCTGGTCATTCCTCACAGAGGAGGATATGCAGCTCTCTGTCTGTATCAGGTATTCATGTGGTTCTAGATGAAACAATAACACAATCAAGTTCCACAAACCATACAATTTGCCATGTTTATAGTGGAAAACTGTTCACGTTTACGAGATGAAATATTCATACATTTACATCAAAGTCAAGTTCAGCTGTATCAGTTGCAGTGTAACTGTCTCTCTGTGTGTTCATCAAGTGTCTGTGATGATGACACAATGGTTCAGTCTCTGAGCCAATCGACTGAGGAACACGTCGGATCCAAGTCTTTAGTTCTGCAGCAGCATAAGGACTTGTTTGTAATACTTCAATTCAACATGTCCCAGCACGACAAGTGGACAGTCTACACCTACATGTATGAATTGGATGACCTGGGTGAGTCTCCAGAGTAAAGCGTTGAGTTGTTTTTGAGTATTTGAAAATGTTAATTTGATAGATGGTCTTAATTAATGAATAATGCACAAGGTATCACTTAACTTTGATTCCACTAGGCTCAACAGTGGACAA